CTTAATTTAATTTCAGAAACAGTTTTTAATCACTTTTTCATGTCGCATTGGATAATGTCCGGTAGAGACACAAGCGGTGATGTCGGAAGGAAATGTGGCTTTCATTATTATCTTTTTTTACGGTTATAATTTGTTTATTTATGTAGAAATTTTATGTCTCAGTACATATACGGTGATAATTTGTTGATTTATAAAGAAATTTTATATTTCAGTATCTTATGTTTCTATTTAATCTTTGCGGCTTTCAATCTGCTTGCATTCTTTGTTTCAATAAACTTTTTATTGACAGTAAATAAATATATCATAAATATAATCTTTGATGGTACGTACGTGAAACGTGGGCTTTTAATTAATACGTTGAATTGATTTTATCTATAAAACCGTGCTTGTTTTATTACCAATAATTAATAAAACAAAGGAAAACCGTTATCCGGCTATAAATATAATGAAATTTAGATAGTAAATGTCTTTTACAGCAAATTGTCGTCAGTTTGTCATTGATGCTATTAAATGTAAACTATCGTGAAAGTGCACAATCGTTACTCGCCTTTCGTTCGAAAATGAAGTTTTCTCTTGTCGCTCCACGTATGATAAAGTTACGTGGGTTCTTATTACTGTAGATATCATTAACATGGTCTCATTATATGGTGTTTGTAGAGCAAACTCACCGCACATTTGCAAAGCGTAAAACCATTAAGTGGTTGAATACTTTTGATATTACACACGGAGAACTTAAAAGATTTTACTGCAATTTATCAAACGACATGTAAGTGTCGTTTGTTAATATCATTATCATTTACATATTATATACGAGTGTAAATATGTAATTAAATAACATCATGTGAAATATTCAATCATTTACTATATTAAAAATATACTGCATATGTTGAAGTGAGTGTATTTATTAAGTACTTCATGGTGTCTTAATAGCTCTACCTAAAATTTTGGTATAGGTAAATGCTAGTAGGTACCTGTTTGGTATGACTGAGGATACTTATTTGGTTACTTCTTATCTTAATAAGAAGCTTTTGCTTGAGAATAAAGTTAAATAAAAAAAAAAAAATAAACTATTCATCATATTTTAGCCTATCATATGGCACTTTAGCAACATCTTACTTATTGAATTTATTAAGCCGTTTAATTTACACGTTGCAAGGTCCGGAATTACCCAATCAACGTTAAATCTTTTTTTTTAAGTTGTAAAAAAATATTAATTAATTGAATCGAGCCCTTTGTTGCGCTTTCAAAGGGAACGTTGCCGTATGGAAACCAGATGTGATATTGACTATCTAACTGTAGCGAACGAAAACTTCCTTCCCATAACATTTCCTTTTTGAATATTGTGTTTATATATCTTCCGGCTGTTTTCTCAATCGTTTGACAGCTGTTTATTTTCGTAGCAGTCGACGCCGTGTTTGTTGCGTGTGGCGCATACGCAGCAAATGCTATGGATAATACAATTAAACAATTTACTCTCACACACTTTCTTCCCGTAACTAATTATAGGAGCGGTCGAATAAACGGTTTGTTTTAAAGATTCGTAATTATACTCGTTTACACGCGCTTAGGAAAATGTATTCTGTTTTATAATTCGTATCTAAGTGCAATTCGATTCGCGCCCACGATGTGATTGTGGCCTGCGGGGTAAAATAAGAGATTTGATTTCGAATTACCATGTAATTGTTTCCTATTATTTTATCTGTCGGACAAATGTAAAGATTGGTCTTTAAAATGTTATCTATAGCTGACAGAACACTGTTATTTTTATTCTCTTTCTACTTTTCGATATCAATGGGATTATTTAATTTGTATTTACTTTGCCTTAGATTATATTTTTTAAATTTTCGTTTATTATTTTCAAAAGATGAATTTACAAATAACATAAGAGCACTAAATGATTGTCAACTGGCATATTAACCTTATTTCTTAAGTAGCATTTGTTAAAAAAAAAAATTCTAGCAAAATTACTAATTAAGGAATAATTAGGTACCAAAATATACAAATAAGGAGAACTAGTAGCATAGTAGAATGATAGTCAACTACGAGTACTAAGACATATATATTTTTCTAATATATCATAAATGTGAGAGTTTGTAAAAATGTTTGGATGTTTAGATGTATGGATGTTTGGTACTCAATCACACTTAAATGGCTGAATAGATATGAATAAAATTTGGTACATGGGTAAATTATAACCTAAATTTATACATAGAATAAATTATACACCAAAAAATTTACGCTGGAAATATATAGCTAGTATTATATATATAGGTAGGCACTACTAAGTTATTGTTAACGTCTCAGCTGTGTCACAGTTTCGAGACAGATGACGCAGTGCCGCTGTATCGATTCATTTATCTGGGTTGCGGGCCATACTTGCTGCTACTAATGTTATAGAATTGTTGTCCTCAAACAATAGAAGGCCTACATTTCTTGTATTAAACAATAGGCTTTAAAGGAAATTCAAGGCCGCGACTAATTTGCAGAAATTACGGAGATCGGGGTTTAAAGAAAAGCATTTCTACCGTTGTTTCTAGTTTAATATAAACATTGGATAGTAGATGTGATCTCCATGTGGAAGTAAGAACACGGTAACAGCGAGTTATTTTTTCTTCAGAATGTGGTAACAGACGACTAGAAAAGCAATATGTAGGTAATACACTAGTGCAAGGGAAACTTGAACTCCTTCCTTTCTTGAACTCTTTCTTTTAATTACCTATTAAAAGCGCGTAGGCGTTTAATAGGTAAATATAAGGACTTGTGTCTGGCAGTGAGGCGTTAGTGGGTTATTGTGAATAGATAATTACAAATATTTAAAATTCAATTACTTATTACTCCTACTTTGCAACCTATTTAGTTTCTAAGTATTGATTGACTTATTTCCAGTTGAGTCCATTTATTAATTGGGTATATCATCCAGAGTGGACTCAATATCTCTTCAAAATCTTGCAATGAGCTTGAGAATCTGTACTTACCTAAGATTTGTTAAAATTATAAAGTAGTAGTTGTAGAAAGTATTTTATATGCGCGACATAAATCATGTAAAGATAGTAGATACTTTTTTTATACTACTTGAAATACCTAACAAGCTGACGGCCAACCTGATGAAAAGTGGTAACGGCCTATATATAAAAACTGCACCATGGTCATCATAGAAACACTGTGACGCCCCTGATGAAAAGTGGTACGGCCTATAGACAAAAATTGCACCATGGTCATCATAGAAACACTGTGACGCCTACGATACCTCACGTCCTGAGGACTAAGGTGTATATAAAATATTAGATTTACAACAACTGCCTATTTTGTACCTATCTAACATACATCGCGAGTTAAACTCCAGGCGATAATCCTTTAACATGGCACTTGGCGCTAACAATTACCTATTAGGCAACTCTAGCGAATTTAACATTCAATATATTATTAAATTTTAGTCTTTATTTACTTAGACATAAGTGCTAGAGTATGACCAGCAAAGTTGTTATTGCATGTAGCACCATTTGACATGTTTATAGTAACTGCAATTACCACACTTGCTTATCTACACCCAGTATACAAACCACATGTTTGCGCTTCAAAATCATTATCGAAACATCTTGCAAGCTTGCTGAATTATCGAGTTAGCTGGGACAAGTTGCTATTACTTACCAGCCTCAAATGGATCACCTATATTGCAGCTTTGAGCATGATTCATTAGATCTGCAAATCGTCCTTTCCGTCCTGATGTTTATCTAGGTATAAATATATTGTTTACAATATGGACAAAACACAAATTCTTACCGGTTTTGCCTTTTTAATTTTAATATTTCGTTATGTATTTTAAGATCAGATATAGAATACTGAAAGAGTAAAGTATATTCAACTAAAGAAATACCATAGAAATCACCCTGATAAATATAAACATATTCATGAATACATACATATATTTGTATTATGCGGGAATTGCACCCGCGACCATCGGACGATGGGACAGTGTCAAATTGGTACATCATTATCACGGTCGCCAAATATTGCTTGTACCTAAATCCTTTAATAACGTGTGTAGGTATTTACCTATCAAATGGGTTTCGTTTAAAATTCAATGTGTATTTCAAGTCATAAGCGAATTTTAATCAGGATTTATTACCCCCACATACGTTTAGAAGTTACACGAAATTTACATTAAGTAATCCAATATTTATACAATATTAATTGAAATGCAAGACAACACTACGTCGCCCCCTACATGCATAAATGGACATGCACGGACATCATTACATGCACATTTCCGGTAGGGGAGAGTGGTCAACAAACCACAATCGATTGGTGTACGTAGGTAACGCAAACCATTTGGAAAACCACAAAATTTTATATTTCAATTGCAGGTTTAAGTTGATAAGTAAACATGTAATATGACTTGGTCTTTATGATTGAAATCAAATTATTTATATCGTCATACTTTTTTTTTTAATATATGCAGTTCATCTTTCTTATTCAAATTAGATGAAGTCTTAATTTTATTTACATTATTTTAATGCCAATCGATATTAGGACTTTTCGTTTTATGGTAGATAAACTATGGAGACGTATATGAAAGGCTGTAACAATGATGAAAAGGAATTTATAACAGCCAAATAAGCTTAATAGTAAGCGTAATATATTACTTACGTACAAGTGACCTAAATGAATTATTTTGATTATATCATGATAACATGGCCCGTAAATAATTAGAAAGGCTGAATTTAAATTTAGCTAGATTCGCTAGGGGGTCTGAATGAATGTTCACTTTTACCCATACACGCTTAAATTTTTGTTTAGTATAAACGTTTCAAGATCACATTTTTACATTCGCGACTTAGTTCTCTCTTCTAGCTATTGTTCTGAGTACTTGTGTTTATTTAATCTAAATCAGACTAATTATTTCGATTAATAGATAAATGAACTAAGTAATTTTTGTCGCAACAATTGAAATCTATTATTTTCTACTGCAAGTTCCTTAATTTTTGTTTTTTAATTTCCAGGGTGCCAAATGCTCCCAAGAGCTGCATCGCCGAGATCTTCAGCTCGGATGTTACAGACAGTAGCCCAGTGAAAAACGGCACCGTGCGCCCGCGTGTGGTGCGCGATACACCGACTCGCCCCCGCGACACACACTCCAGACTTTTTGGACAGGTGAGTTCAATATTTTAGCAAAATATTTACATCATTATTCATCACTATAATCATAATTTCTTATCGACTTATTTTAATATTTTTAAACCTATACGAACACTTTGATTAATAATAAGAATTACAGTCAGCGTCTAAAAAGATATCGCGTTATTTGTTTAGTAAAACAAGGACGTTTGTTCTGGTATTCTGATGAATTTAAGATTTGCTTAAAATAATGTGACTGCGAATCTCTATATTGATGATCGATAACTGCTACTATAACATTATAAACTTGTAATTTTTAATACTAAATTTACATCAACACTTTAAACGCATGTAAATATATGTTAAACACTTTCATTGTAACATTAATCATATATTTGTTTAAGAAATTCAGTTTATAATAATTGAAAACGCAGTTTGACACGACATGGTTTCGAAACTGTGTTCAGAACTCACAATGCACCATGCAAACTCTACAACACATTTAATTATAATAAGTCGATAAAAAAATATTGGAAAATCACATAATGCAATGCTATTTTGTTTTGTGTATTTTATATGAAAATTTTTCGAATTGAGATCGAAAACAAGCTTGCGTGCTCACCTGAAGTCTTTCAATTGACGCTTATAATATCCCACAGCTGGTCATTACGAAATGATCGTGCAATATTGGCAATTAATGCTGCATCACAATCAAGCTTTTATTTTATTATTATTTACGCAATAGGTTACTTTTAATTTAATACATTATAGCTTATGTATCTGTAAAAATTACCGTACGCAAATATATATAATTACAATAAATGTAATTGAAGTCAGCAGAAATTGTATAATGTGGCGTACGCTGCCTGAACGGTTTGAAATAAAGAAATAAAATGTAAAGCAAAAATATTAATTACATTTAGCTTTACAAAAAAGTCCGCGACAACATATATCTAAGTTTAATATCTCAGCCAAAAACAGGTTTTATGTTAAAAGTAAAATAAATATATACAAGATTAAATTTGGATACAGATTTGACGTATAATTTACAAATTCTTATAAAAACAAATAGCTAAATTAATATAGAAATTTCATGGAGATATAGTCAGTCTATTTTGATAAATACTAGTCTTATTAAAATATATTGAACAGTTAAAAAGTTGCACAAACAAATATTGCACCTGTGCGAAGCTGGGGCGGGTCGCTAGTTATTTATATATTAATTAAGCCAAATTAATAATGTCAAATAATGCCTTTTATATATGCCAAAATTTAAATAAATATTTCAATATCTATATACATCAAGTAAGAATCAATAACACAAGGATTTTATAATAGTGATGAAATTGCCATAGTGACAAATGCCATCTGTATGCGACGCTAACTTACTTAATCTATATAATAAAGCGTAAGAAATTATTTATTTATTTGAACTAAACTCTGAAACTATCAGTTGGAATTAAAATATTCTTTTTGCATATGATAATTCATTACTTGAAGACGCTTATAGATAATTTAAAATCACGATACCACTACGGCTGAAGCTGTGAGATACGGCCAGTACTATTTATAATGCAATTAATTACAACTTGTAATAAATACACATACGCTTTGTCAATATACACGCTCGCCTCCGCTTAAGAAGACTGCTTTAAATGCTTTCAGGCTGTAAATACTTCTGTAACTCCGATGATCACGGACACCATACGCAGTAACATCCAGTTCGGGGATTCGCAGATGAACGGCGGCAGCCCCATCCACTCACCCTCCAAACATCTGACCAATGGAAGCGCCTCGTCGACGCCCAGTCGAGGTGAGAGGGACTTCGCGGAACACTGTGAGTTCATTTAAATGTAGGCACGAAAAGAGCACTGCTAATAATGCAATGGGAGAAACGTGAGCGTTCGATTTCAAGTGACGTAGATCAAGGAGATTTTAAAGGAAATCTTAAATGTGCTGTTTTAGAAAAGGTTTTAAACTGTATATAAAATATCTTGCTTATAAACTCTCTAGAAATATATTGTTTCTATGGTACATATGATCTTACATAATATGGCGCTCGCGTTTCTAAATCTTAATCTGGCACTTGTGCACGCAAAGATTACATGCTTCTGAACAAATAAATCTCTAAAATCAATTTCTTTCACCTGTCATATAAAGATTTGAATAATTACAATAATAACAGTTAACAAATGTATCCTAGGAGTCATTATAATAACTTGAGTGATATAATCTACTTACGTAAATTGAAAAATCACGAAGAGAAATTGAAGTGTAATATTAAGCCGTGCTTTGCTTAGAATGAAGCATGATTATACAAAAATATATTTAACTGAAATAACATAGTACTTACTCTCATGTGATTTAAAACAATAATGTTTAACAATGAATGCACGTTCATATAATATGTATTTATCTTACATACTTATTTTTATACTCCATTAAGTTAGGATTCGATCCAAGAAATTTTATAAATAGGGATAGTTATTCTGTAAGAGGTTCGAATGAAAACCGTGTATTCTGTAAATGATCAGCAACGTACTCCCCACCGAAGAGGAATCCAGTGACCGGGGACGGAGTTATGGTGCCACCGCCGCGCCGTCGCCACCCGGGTGCCAGCCTGCGAGGTGCCAACACAAACCTCGAGTGCCTCGACGAATCCATCCTTGAACCACAACCCACTCACCGTTATTTCACTCGTGATTGGCCTCCTCGTCCTGCTCATTACTATGTTGAGTCAACTACAAAACCAGTTCCCAACATCCCAAAAAATCCTTATACTCTACTCGGTCTTAAAACTGATGACCCACAAAAAATCCATCCAATAATAGACAACGATTCATTTTCCCCTCAGCCAGTTCTTGACAAGCATTGGCCTCCGTTTCCTGCTCAACACTACCTCGAACCGTCTGACCATAAAGTCCCTTATCATCCTTTGCTTCCTTACGCGTTTGTTGGCATGACTTCAGCCCTCGGTGACAGGCCTAAACCTGATTATAAATATGACCCTGTGCCAACTTTAGACGGACCCGTCGATCCTTTTCTCGTGACTCATACTGATCCTCCGCCAACACTATTTAAATATGAACGTGATTGTCCAATACCTGATCTCACTCCATTGGCAACTCAAGTTATACCTGGTCCACATACTTTAACAGGTTTCCCACCTATATTCCATAAATACATCCCAGGGTACATATTTGATCGAAATCGGCATGCTGAGGACTTCCGACCTAAGACGTACTATGTAGACTATGTTCGCCGAAGAGAGATGGGTGGGTGTTCAATTTAGATTGAAGGAATGCTTTTATCATTGCACTAGTTGCCCTAATGACTGTACTGAATATTTTTATCAGATAAAAGCTTGTGTATCGCAACTACAGTAGGGTATTTTCACTTACTATTTGAAGAACCATAAGACGATTCCTTCAAATTACCAAATTGAGCACTCATTGCCGTTTTATTATTTGCTGCTTTATCAATTGTTAGGTATTTAAATGTCGTTTTTGTGTATGAAATAGACTTTAAAGACATTAAGAAACATTATTGTAAATGCTTCTTGTGGTGTTTGTAAGTTCTAATTATTTTCTGTTGTTTCTTATTTCTTATCTGTTTAATTATATTGTTGTCTTCTGTACTTGTAGCACGCAATTCTATCTTTTCAGTGTATTAATAGATATCCTGCCTTATTATATTATACTGTAGTTAGAATACTCTTTTAATCGTTAGGTTCATCATATAATAGTATTTTGTCACGTAGTTAATGAAATTCTTGTGCGAAGAAAGAGAATTTTTAAATATTTTTTATTGACATATACATAGGTTTTTATTATTAAAAAATTATTAATCATATCCAGTACTTAGTATTTTACTAGAAATTCGCATGATAGGATTTTATCATATCCTGTAATTAAATCATTTACAGTGTAGCTTTCATCCAACGATACATGCTTTACTTCCTAGATAATATAAACCTTCATTAGTCACATATTAATTAATTAATTATGGACATTCCAGAAGGCAACCCGATCACCGGTGATGGCTACAAGTCGATGAATGGCCAAATCAACACAGTAACATCACTAAATGGCTCCAACAGCATCCATCACAACCGCGTGCCGCCTGGCGGTTATTCATCAGGTCTTTGGTAGACCAACCCACTTCGATCGACTTCCCACCATGCCACCTCACCGGACCATAAACAATAAATTTAAAAACCGGCGAGTGACCAGCCTATCCAATCGCCTAAACACCAATAGTACTCTATGATATTTTAACACCATGAAGTATTATTTGTGTTATGACTATGCATTTATTTCAACTACCATTTTGTTAACTAAAATAAAGTAGCATTGTTAAATTTTTAGTAACGCAAATTGCACCATCTGAACTCAACGTCCATTATAAAATGAAGGGTATATGTTGTTAATTCCTTAGCCTATCCCAGTAACAGTTTATTCGAATAATTTAGAATAGATTATTATAGATATTTTTATAATAGTAATATTTCGATAGTTATAAATCTATAAGACGATCGAATCTTGTGGATCTTTGATATTGATTAATGGAATGTAATTACAGACGCTTAGATTATGGAAGTGTCTCTCTTTCTTTAAATATTTCTAAGGTCCACTACTAAGAGCTATTATGCATGAGTGACAAATGTCATCATGACAAATTAGACACTTATCAAGTTTGTGGATATGTATATACCTATTGTTTTATTATATCCGTAACGTGCAACTATATATCCATATACATACAAATGGACAATATAAAAGCTGAAATTGTCACGATGACAAATGTCACTCATGCATGTTAGCTATAATTATAATAAGAAATTGAAAAAATGTACTCTTTCACACTTTTACGAATATGTTAACGCATGGATATTGAGAATTAGGAGTGAGGAAACGTATCAGCAATATACCAAAATGATAGTGCCTTGATTGGTGATGATGAAAAATTCAAGTAGGTTCGATGTACGGTTGTCTAAGCGTTATGAAAGTGATTATATGTCTATATATTTCACGGTATAGAAATAGTAATCATGCGGCACACGGGCTAATTGATACAATTAATGATAAAAATTATAATATAATTATATTCAACACTATATAAGTCTTTTCTCGTTTGTTGAATTTCATTATCATAGTTTAAAAATAAAGGGTTTATAGAAATGCATTTATTTTGTCTTTTTATACAAGTTTATTTCTTTTTTAGTTTATTTTCTACTCGTTTAGACGTAATTGTAAAAATGGATTTGAATTTTGGTAGATTATCTGTTAACATTATATCGGACCATAGTGTGTTATAGATTACTAATAGGTAAATGATAACGTTTCTATGAGTAGGTAGTTAGTTTTCGTCTAGCATTAACCTAGGCATATCATCTTTGTAAAAATGTTTTTTAATATTCTAACATGACAGTGCATAATCACAGGCCTAACTGTAACAAACTGTTAATAGATAATAACCCATTATTTCAAAATAAAGTTTTTTTATTGAACTTTGTCTTTTATAATTCTTCTACCTCGTATTTTCCCGTTAAATTTGTTTTTATTGTTTGTACAGAAAACATAAGGTATAACATTACGATACAGTGAAAAATATTATGTATAAATTCATCACCGTCATATCACACCCCATCATCATCATCATCACACATATTACAGTCCACTGCTGAATATAAACCTACACTTTGGAGGGATTTTGCCTATAGTTTCCACGCTTGGCAAGCGGGTTGGCAACTGCAGTTATGCTTTGATGATGTTTTAAGAGGGACGTTGTTGCCATCCCTCGGCAATTAAATTGTCTTAGTCCCCTTTTACGACACTCATGGGAAAGGAAGATGGATCATTTTAAATTGAGATCACACGGCAGTAAATGTAAATAAATTCTCATTCATGCTCCAGTTTCACCAGTCTTTACGTATGATCTTAGAATGGTAAATAAGCAGATAGCTCACTTGATGGAAAGTGGTAATCGTCGTCTATAGACATGAGCAGGACCATGGACATAACAGAGTATACTATTTCGCCCATGACACCCTCATGCGTTGCCATTCCTGAGGACTAAGATGTTATGCTTATATATTGTAAATTCACTGCCATATTCTTGCCACCCTTCAAACCGAGGGGGAAAGGGATTGTGGGCAATGGAGCTTGACAGCCCCATTGCTAACAATATTAGGTCGTGGTTCCCCCTGGAAACCATCGTGAATAATTTTTGTCGAATTCGTCACGATGGGCTAACTGATCTGTTTCATTCTCATCCTTCACTGGTGCCCCGCCGGTGTAAACCGATAGCGCGGGTGGGGTTGCCATTCCATTATCACCCATTAAAAAAAACTCTTCAAACCGAAACACATCCACGTAAACACAACTGCTTCACGATTGAAACACGAATGGGACAGAGGTACCCAAGCAAACGACTTTTGTACAAAGTTTCCTTCTAGTATTAACTTTGTATTTTTTCTTAGTTTCCGAGACAAAATTATTAAATCGATTGAAAGAAAAAAAAAACTTTGAATTTAGAAGAAGGAATTTACTTTTAAATTAATCCCTAAAGAGATAGAGTATACGAACTTGAAGGAAAATCTAATACATTCTTATCGCATCCAGTAATTATTTTGAAATGCTATTTTCTATCTTTAAAACACTAGAAACGAGAAAAAAAAATTTTTGATTAAGTTTAGGAGAGAAAAATAACTAATTTGAATTTAAGTTTTAGTGGTCCATCGAAACCACAATATTTTCGCTAAGCTATCAATTAGATAGAAGGAGCACTTCAGAGGAGTCTACAAAGAGGTGTCAGACGTAATGAGTAGAATGAAACAATATATGTTGTATACATGTACGTGTGTACGTAAAAAAGGTATATTAAAAATTTATTATAGCCACTGTTACTTGCTACAACTAACAAAGATCATAATTCTATTGATAATATCTCAATCGGCATCTGTTGTAATATTATGATGATATGAACAAGAGTAGGTTCAAGTATTACGTAACGCAATTTGGGTAGCGGTGGGGAGAGCATTATTGTAAAACGTTACGATGTGTTACAGGGAGGGGCGGGAGAGGGGTTCGTTACGTAACATTAATTTTTTTATTAAATAAAAACAAGGGACTTGGAATTTGCGAAGCTGGCAACCCTATTAGATTATATTTTATGGGGATAATGCATTTAAAGAAGATGCTTCATATAAGATAAAGGCACAAGATACAAGAAAAGATGCTGCTGCTGGAGAACAATGTGAATTTTGGATGTGGAATAGCTGAAATGAGCTGACGGTCCACCTGATTGTAGACAATTATTGTTGCCTAGACATAAACAGCACCATAGACATTATATAAATAAATACATAGTAATGCAAATGCTAGCTATCAAGCATTGTCATTGCTGAGAAGTAAGATGTTACGCCTTTGTAGTTTGTAATTTTACCCCATCTTTTAAACCAAAACAGCCATGCAAGTATAATACCCCTTATTTATAAAAACGGTAAATGTCTTATAAACCTATTATAGCTATTGAACTGTTTTATCTGGAGGGAAAGGAATTGTTAGTAATGGGGATTTGCCAGCTCCATTACTAGCGATATACCCTATCGGGTCGATTTCCACATGGTTTCCCATGGAAACCATCGTGGTTAATTCTTGTGGAACTTATCACGATGGGTTAACTGACCAGCTTTCATTCTTACCTATCATCCCTCACTGGTGCCCTGCCAGTGTATACCGATAGTGTAGGCGGGGCTACCATTCCATTGTCATCCCACAAAAGAAAACTGTTTTCTTTCTTTTACGCAATTTGGAAGAAAGTGGCAAAACAGTGTAATAAATCGATTTGTAGAAAGTTATAGTTTTTATGAATAGTGAGGTAAGAGAATAAAATGTTCTAATAAAGTATGGATAAAAGCGACTTGGATTTGGATGATAATAATTATATCAAATCAGTATAAAACTTCAGTTTGTGTATTTGTAAAGTATAATTTCATACTTATTACATATACACTATTCAACAATATACTTTACAATTTATATACAATTATATAAGTATCTAAATTATTAATCTAATATATTTTCTTTGTCTCTACTCGACTGGACTTCAGATATATTGCTATTCTCCCCTTTGATTGTATTTCCTTTTGTTTTATTTGGTAATGTCATTGGTGATTCAATTTCAAACGTTACTGGTCCATCATTTTGGATTGACACTTGCATATAGGCTCCAAATTCACCATCTGAAAATAAGCAGATGTACCTATGTAATATTTAAAATATAGAATATTCTAAAATTTGTAACCTATGTAGCTGTAAGTTTTATTATGTTGTTATTTTGTGAGTGAATTAAATATATATTTACATTACATTACATTAATATTCTAAAATCGCCATACCTTATATGGCTATGGTTCAATGAAGAATTAATCTGTAAACATAATTGACCCCATATAACAACCAATACTAATAAAAAAATTGTTTTAAAAAGAACAATTTATTATTAAATTTAGATACTTTAAAAAGCTGAATTATTTAATAAATGGTAGGATCCTTTACCTCCTTCAGTACATCATTTAGAATTAAAAAAGAAAACTATTTCTGTAAAATTAATTCATCTGACTACACTACATATGTTGTTACAGATGTTGTACAAATATTTAATAATTAAATATTTTAACTACTTTCAAAAAGATTTAGTAAATAAAATCATATTATTTATCATATTAATTTTAAATCTTACCCTTCACTTTATCAGGAATGTACTGATTTCTCAACATTTGAAGGAATTTTTCATAGAATTCCTTAGATTTTTCTCCTGGCATAGCATTATGGAAATCTGGTTTTGTGCCCTGTAATATTATTTTTAAATATTTTTAATATTTACTTATCTAACAACTATAAAGATTTTTCTATCAATAAAAATTGAATTGAAGCCTTTTCAGTATATTTATTCTGTGACTTTGCTCACATGTATTAATATATATGAAGTATAAATTTAATTAAAAATTCTTTAATTATTTGTGATTGGGTGACAAATAACTATAATAATAGGATTCGATACATGGAGAAAAATAAAAAATTAAAAATGTTGGATGAGAAATAATTGTCACAGCCGAAGATAAGTTTCAAGTTTTCACAATTGACGGAAGTAACAAAAACATAGTGAGTTCACTTATAACCTTTTACACATGTATTTAAGTTTTAGAACAGTTATTAATTTGCTAAAATGTAATAGTTTCAACCAACCTTCCAAGTATTATATAAAGTAAACTGGCTCACACACAGCACCTCGAGTTGTTTGTCTACAACACTTTTCTTCCACCTCTTGTTTGATTCATCATCAAATATTTTTATACTTAAAATTTTACGGATGCTGCAATACAGAAATAGATAACATTTCTCTAAATATAAACATTTCATGTATGATAACAATAACATTATGTGTCTATGCATTTACAATGCATAGATACATAATGGTAAAATTATTTGTAAAATTTGATGTGATAATAAATCAATACCTGATTTAACAAATAGAATATTTTTTATTGAGGTAAACCATTATATACCTACAGTAAAACAAAGAAATTTGTTTAATAATACAAATATATTTCTATTATATACATAATACTGTGGAGAAATATTTTTTGTAATGTATATGAATGCTGGAATATTTTGAATTTAGGAAAATCAATATTAAGTAATAGTTTGATTCCTAATTAGATTTAATAAATTATTATTAAAAATCTGAGTTAATTATCTACTCAATCATTACAGGTAGTCCATATACTTACATATATTCTATGTCTTTTATAGTATCATTACTTGATATGCCAATTAAAACACATATTCCTTGTCCAATACTGCTAATAATTTGACCATTTACTAAAAAAATATTAAATGATAAGTATTTAATAACATTTCTCATATAAGTATATGTATTATTATTTTTATATTGTTTTTATTAAATAACTTAATTCAAAAAGTAAACAATTTTTGTTTGAAAAGGCTGTACTCTTTTCAAACAAAAATTTACAAATTCCAAATATAAATTCCAAAAATTCCAAAAATAAAATACGTTTGTACTAAGAGAAACACAACCGTACAGATTGCCTAGTTATCAAATCAAGATACCCTGTGTCATGAAGTATCAGTACAGGTAATTGAGCTGGCTTAGAAAATTCGTATTCTAAATTGATCAGATTGAGAAGAGAATCTAATCGGACCTAAACAATGCAAAGCACGCTTCAGCGTAGATTCTACAAATTTTTAATATAGCAATTAATTTAAATAGTAATTTATTTCAGAATATAAATATATACTTCCTTACCGGTTACGCTAGCGTTCATGACTCGTTGTATTAGTGCTTTCATTTTTAACAACTTATACTGTAAACTAAATAAGTATTACAGATACAAATAAAGAATTATATGGGTAAGTTATTAATAAATATTTATGTATAGTTTATTTAGATTAATTTGTTGGATAGATAAATTGAAAACACAGCTGTTAATTCAGGATACCATCTTTAAAAATATTTACCCCTAAATTTTAATCAAGAAATATTAAGAAAGCGATAATTAGCAGTGATTGATTATACTAATTATTTATTTAATTAGATATTTTTATTATACATAAATCTTTTAGAATAAATTTATAGTGATATGATAAAAGATCAATTTTATTATAATAATATCAGTGTATTATTACCAAAGAAAAATTGCAATAAAAATGCAAAATATATCAGTAAATTAAGTAATATTTTGATATTAATCTATTTCTACGTATCTATTTATTATTGGACATTTTAAAACAGATGGAATACTGAATATATGTAAGTAAATATATAAATCACGTAATAGTGTAATGTAAATTATTCTTGCATAAGTGGTAATTTTAATATTATTAATAATAAATAATTTGGTGTAAAATGATTTTTTTATGAATTTATTTACTAAATTTTGTAGTGCAGATTTTTTTCCTATATTAAGTGGAAGTACTGGTAAATTGGAAACTCTGATATTCAATTATTAATATTCAATTCGCAATCGCCTTATCAGAATGTCACTGTCAGTGTGACCTGGCTTAAATTCAATTACAAGAAAATTACGTCATATTTGCCGGCAATTTTTCATTTTTTGTATTATTAATAACTAATATTTTCATTTTGTCAAAATTTTACGTACAGAATAATTTTAAGTATTACTACGGAGAACGGTGCTGCACTCTTTTGTTATGATCTTACAAATAGCAATATTGATAAGACAATTTAGTAGCGTGCTTTTTATTTACTGAACTGGTGGTCTACCATGAAATGAAATTCCGAAATTTCGGGCTCAATTTCGTGTTTTTGTTCGTACCGAAATCGACCCAGTAAATGGAGCTTAACATTTCGTTCATCATAAATCCTATCCTAATAGTCCAGAGGAACGATATTTAAACATTTTTAATAATTTTAAATGGCATGTATTATGTAATTTTAACATCAAATTTCTTTTTCGTTCGTCCCCGAAATTTCGGAAAATGTTTCATGGTAGGCCCTCTGGTCATCTACGGAGCATTTACCTACAACATGAACAAAAAAGATAATTAAATGTCAATTTAGTAATAGCTACTCAACACTAGATGGCTGATCAATCAAACTACCTATTCGCTGGTAAAATTGAGTAGATTTGAAGCTATAGTTTGTCTAATAAGTGAAAAGAATGTGCTAATAGGTTCTATACGATATTTTAGTTATTGTTTTTATGGTCTACCAAAATCTTAGTACGTTATACTAAGTCTATGACTAAAACCGATTATACATGAATAATTTATGTTGAAATAGAAATTTATTATTTATTATATTTATGAAAAATATTACAAAACAGATAGCTATTACTATAAGATAGTTTTTTGTTCTAATGTAGGTATCTAACTACGTATTCCAAATGTTAAGAATATTTCTATTATTATAAATACGAACTATATATTTTTTTTAACTTTTAATAAATTTTGAACTAATTTAAATTTACTAAGTTCGAACTCTACTTCATAACAATCGTTATTTGTTCACTACCGAACATAGATCGCCTCCATAGATTGTCATAAGGAACGGTCCCGAGCCATCGGTACCCACTGACTTGGCGAATACATATCTATTGATAAATTCGTTTGACAGTGGTTTACACGTTGCATCTGGACAAAGATACGAAGCGGTGCTACGTAGAAAATAAATAAAAAATAGGTATTAAAGAAAGTCTAGTTTATTTTTAAGAAATACTTAATAACTAGAGTTGACAATGCGTGGAAATAAAGATTTTCATATATTATAATAAACCAAAACTCATTTTGCACCTACCTATTTAAGAGGGTAATACCAAAACTGTCAATTTACAATTTCAATATATCAGATTGATTAAATTGTACATTGCTAGAGAATTAAAATATTAACAAGGCAACAAGATCATTATAAAGCTGACGTTTAAAATGTGGATTTTTGCAATAAAATAATTTAAAACTTACGTAACAAAATATGAAGTAGGTGCATTGCAAAACTTTTACGAATGGGTTTCTGTACACTTTATTCAATGATAATTACTGAATTTGGTATTTTCGAAATTGTTAGACGATTCCGTTATTGTCACACTGCTAAGCTTTGGTATGAATAATCTTAAATACTTGAACAGGGAGCATTGTGCATATAATTGATAAAATATATTTTAATAAAAGGTAGGTAACATATTTAAAATAATACTTACTTTTTTTTATACATTTTAATATTTTTTTCGACTTTCATTTTATTTTTATTAAACACTTATGATATAGTGACTTAATTTTAATTTTAGGGCAAAGGTTTCTTTTTTTTGGAGCTTAGAGAAAATTAAAAAGCTAAGAGCATGAGTAACCGCTCTTTTTTTTTCAGTCACAGATCTTAAATTACATTTCTATATATAAAAATCCCATGACACCACGTTTGTTTACAGTCAACTTCTGAAACCGGTTAACAAATTTTAATATATACACATTGTTCCCATATTAGGATAGGATAGTTATCTTAAGAAAAATAGACCAAGTTAACGGCGGTAAGAAGGCAAAACAACGTTAGCTAGTACTTTTATATAGAGATAGGATTAAGTACTAATAAGTATTTTAAAAACAAATTATTCAGAAATACTAAAAATTTGTTAGAAATAATATGTCACTATATCATACAATTATTCGTAAATAAGACTACTGTCTATCAATTAGATACTAAATAGTCACTTATGTCTAATGGCAAAGGAAAAACTTATGATAAAACTTAATTAATAGGCAGGAATTTTAAAAATCTATGTTAAGAAAATTATCCAGAGACATGTGTACAGATTAGCTGTTTTGCATATGAGCAACACTTAATTGTTTTGTGATAAATATTCCGCAAATATAAACTAGCTTTAAAATGAACACAGTGTTTGGTAGATCTGTGCTTTTATTGATAATTACAGCTACATTCTATTAAATGCAAACTACTTATTCATTTAAGCCCGGTCTACACAATAGTAATTATGAACCAATTCTACCACAAATGTTACCCACAAAAATATTTTACAACATTTTAGTAAGTAGTTTATTATATTAGGTATACTGGCGTCAATTTACTGGGTACAGAGGAATAACACCTGAGACCTCAGGAATGGCAAAGCATAGGGGTATCATGGGCGAAACAGTATACTCTGTTATGTCCATGGTACTGCTCATGTCTATAGGCATTTTCCATCAGGTGGGCCGTTAGCTTGTTTGCCATTCTAAGTTGTATAAAAAAATCTCCATTTTGACTTAAACTATAAGAATTAGTCGTATGACCAAATTACGAAGAGATGGTAATAACTTCACATAATTGAGATGCGAATGTCGAGACGAAAGTGTAGTGTGACAAGATGGATAAGATCGAGAATGAGTATATAAGAGGAAGTTTGACAATCTAATTCGCATATATTAGGAAAGTAAAAAAAAAAACTTAAAAGAAAAACAAGCAAAAAAAAAATTAAATACAAAACTCTGTTGGTATAATACGGCGTCACGCGATGATCTCAATAAGTATTTTTAAAAATTTTAATCTAAACTTATTACTTTTTTTTTCTTAAACTTGGTTCAAATTACATAGGTGCACACCTAGCTTAATAATGTGAAGAAAAATCACATGCTTAATAACAAATTTTTAACAAACTTAATTTATAATTTGAGAGTATTTCAACATTTTCGCTTTTATCTCCGTACCATCGTTAAAATCTTATAAACATTTTTCAAATCGATTTTCACATTGAGAAAGATTAAAAGAATTGTTGAATTGAAACAAGTTCCATATTTACTCAAATTACATGAAAAAAATTAGAAATTGCATCTAGATGTTTAGATTTGTCTTAATTGTAACAACTGCTAATATCACTTACAATAAGTGATATTAAAGAGTAAAAAACATTTTGAATAAGTATTTTTAGATTGTTCTTGATGGTAGAGAAAGAGAGGCTACAGAATGAAAGAATACCTTTCGAAGACATATCTACCAATTGGAAAATTTACGCAACGAAAACGGCAGGTACGAAGATTAATATCTTAGAAACATTAACAGCCTCATTACATTACAACCTCTGAATAGCTTACTTATAAATAACAGATTTCCTACAGTTACCACAACGTTTTTGTTTAAGACACAGCATTCAACATAATTATTGCTGAAAGATAAAATAAGTACAAAATCAAACCTTACGGCCTATTTCAAAACTCAACGGGTTCGATTATAAGGTGCGATTTCTCTAAACCTATCTCATAACCTAATAATTTGAGTTACTACTATACTACTATTTTATGGGCCATTTTATTTTAGACTCCAATCTTTTAGAAATAAAGTTCATATTGATCCTTAGCATAAACATTTCGCTGTAATGTCAAATTGACATTATAATTTTGGAGAGAAATGGCGCATTAGATTCGAATCCAGTCTCTCTGAATATCTAGTTTTTTCTCTTTATTTTACAAATAATAATAAAAGCTAAAAAAACGTAATGTTATTTTTTAATATTATCATAGAATTTTGCCCCCTAGACAAGCAGCAAAAGGATACAAATTAATTTGACCAATATAAAGTTTTTAATACAATTTTTAACTGCGTGCGTAAAAAAGAACAAGACGTTAGACAATGCTATCTCGTTCTATCTTATGCATACGGTACTGAACACATATGTAGATCCGTTTGCCACTTCTTTTGGGGGGTTGACAATATAGTTACTCAAGAAACAGATACCTAAAGGAGCGAAAGAGACCGTAAGTGAAATTTTGTGTATGAAAACTTATCTATCATCATGTAAAATATTCAGTTTCATATAGATAAGTATTTAAGAGATCTTTAATTATTATTTTTTTAGTTTATGATTGTAAATTCCATTTTTGTATTGTCCGATCAAATTTATAAAATAACCTCATTAATATGTCGAGTAAAAAAATATATTCAAAAGAGAAATATATCGCAATATAAATAACGTTAAAAATTTAATACCACAATGCATTAACATATTATTAAAAAAAAAAAAAAAATACTTTTGTGTAATACAGTATTATGGCATAAAGTGCCATTATTATATGGCAATATTCCATTATTGGCTGTGAAAATTAGATCTTCTGACAAAAAATTCATTGAAATCATTCACTTTCAAGAACTTATATACTTATAACTAGGCAAGCAAACACATAGCGTGCACACAAAAAGGAAGTGTGACCGATATTAAGTTGATTAGATACTATAATAGATAAATCAACGTACACACTCAATCAATTCATTCAATAAGTCGCAGATTATTCATTTGTCGGAGTTTGAGGTTCAACTTTCGTTGGCGTATCGCTCTTCTTTATATTTTGAAATTGTATTTTCAATTCCGGTGGTATACCATACAAGCGAACGTATTCGATGTACCGCCTTCGGTTTTCTGGGTTACTCATTACAGATGTGATAAATTCAGATGTTTCTTTTTGCAATTCAATTATTTTCTGTTGGATTAGTCTATTTTTATGCATAAGCCCAATAGTTCGCCATGCTAACTCTAAAATGACACGATTCTGTGCTGTTTTATCAACTATGGCTTTAGGTTGTGCTTGAGGTTGTAGTTGTGGTTGTGGGCATGGCGTAGTGTTCTCTTCGCTGGTCGGCGGAGATGGTTGCCGATGGAGTCTTTCCAGACGCCTGGCTTCGCGCAAACGTGCTAGGTGTGAACCTGAAAAAATACAATCTTATAATAATAACAAGAATAGTATCCATTTGGTAACAGATCAAGTAATGATGGTAATACATTACATGAATTGTATGCTGTTGTAATATTCAATAGTACATAATTTGTATATTTGTTTATGTATTCGAATTATTAATAGTTGTAGCACTTCAGCTGCCCGCTAACGACATGCTTTCTAACTGTATTGGGTTGACTGGAAGAGATCTCTATCAGAGATAAGTCTACCCTTGCTTACAACATTTATAAATGCATTATATTACATGTAATTTACAAGTGCAATAAAGATTTTTTTTTATACATTTAATGAACATCCAGTTATTATCAATGAAATGGTTTTAATAGATATGTTTGCTAAATTGATAATAGTACTCGTAGTATCGTAGATCTATTCATAATTATTCGAAATATGACTATGTTTATTTACATAAATTTGAAATTTATATTATCTAGAAATTTTCATAATAAATATTACTAAGGAAAGTGAAGAAACAGTATTTGTATTAATAGACGTGCTTGTCGGCGTTTACACAAGTGTTTCCTGTAATAAATATCAGTTTACCAATTGTCACTAAACTTTACAACACCAAACGAGTGATATACGATTATTAATAGTAGGTTGATTCTATTTATTCGATTGTAAGTATAAGAAAAATAATTTCATTAAAATATCTTAATTTAGGGATAAATAGATAATATTTCTGTTAGTATATAGAAAAAATATATATAGTATAATATAGTATAAAGAAATATAATATAGTATAAAGAAATATAATATAGTATAAAGAAATATTTCTGTTAGTCAATCAATTTGTGCTATTTTTGTTTGGAATATCAATATATAAAATAAAATCGTAACTGATCGCTGTCTGTACATAAAAGATATGGAGGAAATTTTTTTATAGGGGGTATTAAAAACGCAATAGAATCCAAAATTTTTTGAATTTTTGTCTGTACGTTTGTGCACGTTAATCTAAGAAAAAGAGTTACCAATTTTCATTAGGTGGGCCGTTAGCTTGTTTGTCATTTTAAGTTGTATAAAAAAAAGGTTTAACCGATTTGAATGCGGTTTTCACTAATGCGTTGCGGTTTGCGCCACTTAACATTTAGTGTTTGTTTTATTTCAATCCATTAATAAAAAAAAAAGTTATATATATCAATCTAAAGAATTACAAATGAAATGCTATAAAATAACCGATCAGTTGAAACATCTAGTAAAAAATATAATGAATAAATTAGTTATCATCTTAGACTAGTAGGATAATAGGTAATTAGTTATACCGATTACCCTAATTATACCACTATTCACATTTATGAAGCGCGTGTGCTGTGATATCTCATTTCACGTAATGGCCAGACGTAATATTGATAACTCATATACTATGAGTACATATTCGTACATACATGTGTGCCACATCGACCTCGTATTCTGACAATTTGTTATAAACAACATTTAATTTATCACTATCCAAGAAAATTGTGTTACCAAGGATCTAATCAAGTTTTAAAATTATAAACAAGTGTCAACTCGTTACTATCACATTTAGAAATATATTTAAAAAAATTCTCCTCAAGCAAGTGTTATGTTAATAGTGAGTTAACGAACATTTAGAAGGACAATCTAGAACATTCGAATTCACGACAAATGTGTTCATTATATAGTTTTTTTTTAATGGGTGAAAATGGTATGGTATGGCAGGCGGGGCGCCTGCGCTAACGGGATACGCTGGCGGAGCACCAGTAAAGGGTGATCGATGAGAATGAAAACAAGCCAGTCAGCCCATCATGATGAATTCATCAGGAATTAACCATGATAGTTTCCAGGGGGAACCGCGAGGAGGTCGACCTGGTTGGGTATATTGCTAGCAATGGGATTCTCAGTCTCCATTACTAACATCATTATATAGTTTCGTTCTTATAGCAATGTCAGATAAAAATGTTTGAATTTCGGTCGTTGAACTATTGAATGTGGCGAATCTATTTAAATTAACAAATTCAATACTCGATACTGCACTAAATTATGTGTATGCAGAGATTGAGTTTCGTAAGCAAATTGCGGAATGCAATGTAATATAGTCATAGTCACGTTAAAACAGAGCGTGCGTTCAAAAAGCTGCCAACAAAAACGTAACGCGCGTGTCTGTGCCACGTGAGTCTCCGAGCCGCGGTACCATTTCAGTTTATGGACTAACCGTTAAACGTGATGTCCTCGCATAAATTAACAAAAGACCTAGTCATTGTAATTAAAATAAAGTATTATATTGAATTTCATATATGTTAGTATAATGACATTTTATTGAGAATGATTATGATTTATACGTATGTATTTATGTATCTGTACTTATAACAAATCTGTAGAGAAAGTCAATTCTGTACATGAAACATATTTCCAAAATAACTATCAGGGGGTGATTAGTGGTCGACACTGATGCCAAAAATGCAATGAGTAAAATTTTTGTCTGTCTGTCTATATGTTTGTTATAGAAACAAAAACTACTCAACGGATTTTAATGAAACTTGGTACAATTATTTCTTCATACTCCTGGGCAGGTTATAGGGCCTTTTCTTTACGTTACGATCAATGAAGATGGATCAATGGAGCAGAGCAATAAAGGGAAATGTTGGGAAAACGGGAGAAGTTACTCCATTTTTAAGCTTCCGTCACATGTGCAGCCTTAATGGCCACTTTTTAAAATGTTAAATTGTCCACCCGTGCGACGCCGGGACGGGCCGCTAGTATTTAATATAATACTTAGATGTTTCAAGAAACATGAATAAATGATTACCTCAAAATTGATATTAATGTGTTCAAATTAATTAAATGTGATGACATACTTAATTAAATTTTTAATCATTCTTGTGGTAGAGGAGCTATAATGTAAACGCCTAAGACCATATCAGAATTAAAGTACTTATTAGGTTTTTTTTTTAATTTTCCGTGCATGTCTACCTTATCATGAGACATGACGTTATTGTCGACGGAAAATTAAAAAAACATCGCAATATTTATATATGTTTACATTTTGCTTACTTTCTTTCTTTTTATTTAAAAGTTTCCTCTTGCAATTTGCTTTTATTATTTATTAATTTTATTTTTCTTTACAATCATTCTATGCTTCGTAGCAAGCATAGAATATAGCAATAAATTATAAAAGCATAATGAGATTAAATTCTTATATTTAATATTTATGGCCATAATATCATTGACAGAGACTGATGCTCATCCAGGTAGAGTAATTGTTTGTAATATCTGGTCTGTCCAGTGCTTCTCAGGATATTTTTTTTAATTATCTACTTTTAATTTTTTTTACAGACTTTGAGTTCGTAGAGAATCAATTGTTTGACCTACTCATTTTTATCATAAAGCCACCAAATAGCTTGTATGCATATTGCGTTCCAGTTTGAAGGGTGTTGAGATATGACAATGTACTATAGGTATTTACTCAAGAAATGATATCATTAAAATAAACACGGTATGTAATGATAAACTCATTAGATATATAATGTTAAATCGAAGTAAATTGCAACACCTTTATCTTAAACCTTGATAAAAAATTCGCATCGCTCTGTGTGCAACGGAGTCGGCGTAGGCGGCGAGAGTTCATCAACCCATGAATTTGTTTCGTCATCACCTATATTGTTCAGCCTAAGTAGAACCACCGTCATATCAAACCAATCTATATTATTATCAATCGTGATGGCGATAAGGACTAAATTAAATTGCCATACATAATGAATTGTTACCGTGAGAATTTCCATCTACCATCTTTCTATAGGTATTAACATTACGATGCCGGAAATGTTTTCCATATGGTAATACAGAGAATTCAAAGCGTACATTAAAATTGTGTCAATCACTCCATTTAATAAGTAATTATAACTTTATTTCAAATATGTGATTTATAAAATTGCCTTTATATATGGTCTTTACATGAGTTGAGTATTTATTATTATTTTTTTTTTAAAATATCTTGGTAAACGATACAACTTTATTAATGCTCGTTCTTGGATTGATTTTTCTTTATATATATATATATATATTTTTGTATAATTTTAAACATTATTACTATTTATTAAACAACTTTAACACGCAGCCATTTCGAATAAATGAAATAACTCAGACCGTAGATAAAGGCTGTTGAAATATGACGCTCAAGAAAATAAACCGTATTTAAGAACGTAAACAACGGAGGTATTGGATAGAAATCAATAATACCCATTCATCTGATTGGAAGTAATCACCGCAAAAGTATAGCAATTTTAAAAATAATTTTTGTTAACCAATTTCCGTGTTTATACGCAAAAAATATTAGGTACTTTCAATGAGATGAAAATATATTTTTAAATTTTCTAAAGAATAGGCATTTATTAAAATACAACGGACGATTGCATATTTATGGGGTAAAAGGAATGGCTACCATTTAATTTACTGTGTTGTGTGACGTGACATGTGAATTCAGTGATGATACCTACGTAAAGATGAAGTCATATAGGTATTAGTAGGATGTATATACATTTGTAAAAAAAGCCAAATGTATGTTAATATAAGTTTATAATGTATATATTTGATAGGTTCACAAAACCTGTATTCAAATGCTAATCAAACATGTGAATACCTACATATGTTACGAACACGTGAATGGGTTCTCGTAATAGGTAATGTGGTATATTACGAATTATTAACAAATATGGTCATTATAAAACGTAAAACCTGGACATTCTATAGACACTGGATGAAATAGGAGTAATAAAATACAACGAGAACTCATGATTAACTAGAATATTGAACTAAATAAATTTTAATTAAAAGAACATGAAAACAACGATGTCTAATTTATCAGGGCGACCGATAGATAGGTAGATAGACACTTTGTCATTCTGTTAAAATAAAAAAAAAAGTGATAAAAATATGTAGAATCAAATTCCAGACAAATTATCATATTGAAGACTAGGCAGCATGGTCTCCGACCTTAGCCTGTTCCACAATGGAACAAACATACTAAAAAAAAATTTAGAATCAATTTGGCGCGAAAAGAGTCGGATATCAATAATTTAATCATAAATAATTAGACAATTTAGTAGAAAAAAAGATATTGCTTTTGTACTACACAGATTACAATAATGCTTGGCGTATTTATAATTATTACCTAGGGGGATCTGGCCCCATTTTGCGCGTAACTGAAAGCTCAGCTCTCATTACGAGACGGCCACCAAACAACTTTGGAGTGCGTACGACCTACCTGTTAAATACCATTATGATCTAAGATAGTAAGTACTTGCCTAAATTATATCTATAAAGAAAAAGAAAAAAAAAGAGGAAAATAACAAAAAAAAAAAAACACATTGAAATAATATTTAATAAATTCAGAAGATTAGCTGTTACAGGATCAAAAGTATAAGTAGATGTATGCAACATTGAATAAATGTTTTTTAAATTTGAAAACTCAAGCGGTGATCACGTTTAGTATGTACATTCACCTCAGAATTATACAGGTCAGTTAAATTTTTTATGCTTTGGGATAAGGTAAAGGTAAACGTTATCCAGTTTTTATAACGGTATACGTAAGTCCTTTATAAATTATTATTATATTAATAATCCTTAATTTTTTTTTATAAAGGACTTATATATTATAATAATAAAAAGTAAGTCCTTTATAATACTTTAGTTTGAAAATTGATTATAATTTATAATGTAGAAAATACGTAGGTATATTTATGAAGTTGCAATGCCTAGATATAAAATAATGGTATTAAAAAAAATAAAGGAAGATAAATAAAAATTAAGAATGGAATATCTTCCCACATGACCTTATTTTTTGTTTTCCATCTCTATGTAATGTATGCACATATACAATGTACACTGCTGAAATTGTGGACAAGCGGGACTATCAGCTTGGGGTAGGTCAATGTTTGTGATATAGACATATTAAGCATTTTAATTGTTTTAACACAAATTTCAATACAGCAAATAAACTTGCAAATTATTACCTTTTTTGATCTTTCTTGTTCTTTTTTCACACATCTTGTATAAACACAGGTTGTTATTAACAAAACACAAAAAATAATCGAACGGTTATCACAATATTTGTATTACGTGTTTACGTGTGCGAACTAGACGACATTCAATCGTGGAATGGAATGGTGTTTGAAAATCGAATGCGCAGGACGCAGACAAAACTCGTAGCGCCGTCGCGAGTTTACAAAGCGAGACAGACTAGTGTTGTCATACTGTTCTATTTATTACCCCATAACAAAGCAAGTGTCCTTTATATAGATTCAGACTCTATGGAGATGTAGTCATTATTTTTGTGTCTATGAAATGTTTATATATATATATATATATATATATATATATATATATATATATATATATATATATATATATATATATATATATATATATATATATATATACCATTTGAGGCATCCCATTTTAATGTGGCTCGCTTAGTAAAAGACAATTGTAGTCAAAAGTAATACAGCATTGTGATGGATTCTGAGGCACCATTTCTTGTAAAAAAATCTCTAAAATTAAAATTTCGATTTGATATCACGGCGAAATTATTATTCTATGGATAAGTATAAATTAATTTTTTAATAGTTTTTAATCAAAATTATTATAATTTTTGTTTTTTAATAGTTCATAAAACAATATTTTGCGAAACTTTAATTTTAATTCGATACTAAAATATTATTTAAAAAAATACGTGTTGGTAAATGACGCTTTAGAATCGTTCCCACTATCATCTGTAAAAGTTAGAGCAATATTATAATTTCCCTGTAGTAAAGCAACGGTTCTAAAATGAAATTCTGTAGTATACTGCGTTTTTGTCTTAGTATATTTAATTTTCACATAACGATTACTTTCTTTAAACGAAATTTTAAAAACAAGAATATATTCAATTTAAAAAGTAACCCATCATGCCAGACTAGACCATTTCAGTTAGAGATCAAATAAAGCTTTAAGGAAGTAATTAAGTACATTTATATAGAAGAAATAAGGAAATTGATTGAAAAGGTAAGCGAATTGATGTCGGCGTGAGAAAATAAAAAAATCTATGCAGTTGTTAAACAATAACTATCTTGAGATGTATTATAGTTATTTATATCAGATTTGCTTACATGTAAAATTTGGGGATGCCCGACTAATTTAATTTATTGAATAAAGCTGTTATAAATATTTAAAAGTCTGTGCAATTATAACGTAAAATCGCTCCATATTACAATAATTTAAAAAGTATTAAATACAATTTTTTACCGTATTGTTTGTAAAATTTTTATTTGGCAATCACATTGCAACGTAATAGGACACGCCTTGCATGCTCCAACACGTGTTGAAGCCAGCAAATTGTTTGCCCCTTATCTGTCTTCCATAGAGTTACAAATTATACGCAGACCAAAGTAAAACAATATTCGGATGTACCTATTTATTTTTTTTAAAGTATTTTTATCATGTGTTTATCTTTTTCTAATTCCTCTTCTTTCATTAGGAGATATATGTATGTTAATGGAATGTTATTATGTTACACGAAATTTATAAGCGATTTCCAAAATGAGACAAATATTACTTCGTCTGTATGTTTTTATTTTCGTGTGTATCTGGTGTGTATTTTTGTCATATCTATAAAATGCATGATGTCTCCTCTCTGTGGTTAAGTAAATATCTTCAACGTGCAGTTATATATATGACTCGTATCTGAATGACTAATGATCTCTCGCGTCACAAATGATTACGTACAACTATCTACCAAATTAAAATATTTTTTTTGCCCATGTCAGTGCATGTCTATGTAAATAATTTTAAAGTTAATTATTTATTCATGTAACCAAAATTTAATATTAATTATAAAATGAATTAATTATTTACCTATTTATTTAAATATTTACCTTACTTTACCTCTTCCTTAAGGTCGTAAGAGCCGACTAAGGGAGGGCGAGGGATGGAAAGCATCTCTCTTAAAACATCTGTAAAGCCTGACTGCGGTTGCCAATCCGTCTGCCAAACGTAACAACTACTGGCAAAAACCCCAAATAAACCCAACCCCAACCAAGGGGGAGGCTTATGTTCATCAGCGGACAGTTAAAGGGTAATATAGAAAAGAATTTGATTTAGAAGCTTTTTCGTGATGTTAGAACAAACGTACAGACAAACAGACTTACAAAAATTTCAAAAATGTTTGTTTTCTTACTTACTTACTTATATTGATTATATTAAGACCTCTAATATATTTTATTCTCAAATATCTCCCATGTAATAGTAAGATATGGTTAATACCATAAATGTTTTTTTATTTTGCATTTCTATGTGGAACGCCGAATAAATGTTATTTTATTATTTTCTATTCTATTCTATATGTAATCACATTAACCTTATGTCATTTTCATCTACAACATATCGTGACAGGTGTTACTTGCATAATTGAAATTCCACTAAGTGTTAACAATCAACATTATCAATATTCAACACAATCGACATGCACTACATATACCTACTACATTTTGAAACGTGTTTATCTAATCTTATTGCATATATATGACTTACTATGAAAAATTACTCCTGTAAGTTGATTGTTGTTCTGTGTATTGTGATTATAAACTGCTTGTAAATTTACGTAATAATTATTATAGGAAAACTACAAAGTTTAAAGCTTAAGTTCGGTAAAAGAATTATAAATGAGACGTGTACAAATTCATCTTTTTTTTTTATTTATGCAATTTAGAATGACAAATAAGCACATTATTTTCCCGCCCTTTCCTAATTATGGAGTTAGCGTAATATTATTTTATTCATACATAAGTCATAGATTACTATTTGCTCTTCTATTGCAGTTGTTTTATTTGTTTTATATAGTAATATTTTATGTATTTATTTATGTATGTGTGTATTTATTGTATTTTATTATTGCATTAAAGTTAAAATAAATAAATAAGGAATAAGAAAAGGGATTGTTAGAAATGCGGACTACCAGTCCCATTGCTAGCAATATAGGATATATTGCTAGCAATGATTATGTCGATATTCATTTAATCCCGCCTGAAAACCTCGTAACCCGCCAGTCAAGTGTGGCAACTACTGGCAAAACTTTCCTTATGGGGAAAGCTTATGTTCAGCAGTGAACAGGTAACGGCTGAAATGATTAAAAGCCTATTAATTCTACATTTTAATATAACCGAGTAAATATAATATTAATATTATGAGTAAATAACAAGTAGGTAAGTATAGACTTTTATTAATTTTTTAATTGGTTTTGATAGCAACGTGACTTATTATGTTGCGTATGCACGGGTATTAAGCACCTACCTACTCGTCACATTACGTAAGAGCTGTTTATGAATATTATTGGAAAATTGAAGAGGAATAAATGCACAATTAAAACACGATATATATATTCATAGAAACAGTATTTCATATAATATTTTAGAGGAGATATAAATTAAGGAATACCAAATAAGTTTGTATTTTTATATATAGCAGAGCAAGAATTTGTAAAAAAAAGTCGTTTGCTTGGGTACCTGTCCGATTTGTGTTTCTACCGTGACGCAGTTCACTTTGCATGGCTGTGTTTCGGTTTGAAAACCACCTTAATCCTCAGGAATGGCAACGCATGGAGGGTATCATGGGCGAAACAGTATACTCTGTTATGTCCATGTTCATGTCTATAGGTGACCATTACCACTTTCCATCAAGTGAAGCGCCAGCTTGCTTGCCATTCTATATTGTATAAAAAATATTATTGTTTGTATATTTTTACCAAAAACTTTTATAAGCTTTATATGAAAAAAAAAAGGATTTTTATCTTTTCTCCTTCATAAGAATCTTCCTTGAATACTTTCCCTTAACAAATATTAAAAAAAAAAATAAGCCGAGTCGGTCCAAATGTTCTCGAGTTTTGTGCTTAGCAACACATTTTAGAATTAATTTTATTTATATACATGTAGGGTAGACCGGGGCTCAGTATCGTCCTTAGGAATGGGAAGTAGGGTGGGGGAAGGTCGGGCGGCGTCCGGGGACGTCGAGATTCAAATGGGGTGCCAAGGTCTAAAATAGACGTCATAGGAAGATCAAATTCTTTTTGTTCTCAAAAATTTTACCAGGGTTATCTTCAGAATGGGTTGGTACGTAACTTTGTTTTTCTTTTTCGTACAAAATATTGGTTCCGTATTAACATTTTTTTTTTTTTGCAACTGATAAGACGCATAGATTAGTCTTATAGGATTACAGATTAGAACGAGACATTTTTATAAGTAAAACCAAACAGAAGTATGAGGAAGATCGGAAATGTTTTTTGTCTTGCTTTGCTCGCTTTTATTTTTGGATGACGCTAATTATTTGGCAATCATACAAATCAATCAGCTGCTATTTGACTTATTGTATGCGAGTATATATTCGATTAAAATTTATTTATATTGATTAAAAATGCTTAGTATTTTACATTATATTTATTTATTTTACACTTTATTGCAGCATTTATAAAATAATAAATATAGTTAAATTTAATGAGAAGTAATATGGTGAATTTTAGAAAAAACATGATATTTATTTATTTATTCTTTATTGCACAATAAAATTTTGTACAAATGGCGAGCTTAATGTCATGTGGCATTCTCTACCAGCTAACCATTGGTCAAAAACAGAAAGCGTATGAAGGGCAGATGTGGTGAAAAATATGTGACAATTATAGTAACACATTAAGGCAATACACAATATAGAAATGCACATATAATACATAAACATAATACATGATATCTCTATAAATTTTAACCAAGGATTGACGAAAATCGAGTTTTTCTGTACTTAGTACTCGTTCAAATTCGCGAATAATCAGAAATAGGGATACAGTTATTAAGGTACGTTTTTTATTTACTTGTTTACTCCATTGAGTAAACAAGTAAATAAAAGTGTCATTACACCATTCTATAGCTATTTCATAATGCACACGCTCATAGCAATTCTATAGCATTCTCTTCCCATGATAGAGTATAACTCTATCAAAAAATAATGTACACATGTTATGTAACATGGAGGTGTATTATAATGTTCATTTAGAAAACCTATTTTTAAAATTGCTTAAAAATAAAAAAAAAAAATCGAAAAAAAGTGTCAAAAAATAGGAAGAGTCCTATTAATAATGTATATATAATTACAAATGCATTAATCGCAAATATTGTTTTTATATTAATTCTCTATG